TTTTTGTGGGACACCTTTGCTCATGGCATGGCTTTTCTTGTGTCATATTTATAGGTTTGGAGGGTAAAGCAGAGCGAGAGCAAGCCTCATCAGGCAGTGCAAACTTATATTGGAAGAGCCGGTAGGCTTTGAAGGGTTACCATATCCTTGAATCTTGCAACAAAATTGTGCAAGGGAGTGCTAGCCTTCTTGAAACATTTTGTGAACCTGCTGTATGCAATTCGTGTGAATGTACAGTGAAGTGAACTCGTTTCAGGGCCTTTTGAACGAGCGCCAACCATCCTTAAGTTTGGTATTTCATGGTATTTCCATATAATGATGCTCCGAATAACTTTGCAGGTGAGCAACCGAAAGCGGCTAAGACTCCTCAAGCAAGTGCCTCATCAAAAGGCAGCGGGAGTGTGCAGTCTCAGACACACCCATAAATAAGTGTGCTCATTGCAATGTCCAACATTTTCTTAGATGCTTTCCAGCCAAGACAGCTTCTTCGAAAATGCACGTCGCACCGCAGCAGCAATAGATATATAGGGTGGAAGATCAATTGTGACTGGTAGCCAGATCAGCGAGAGAACTTCTTTGTTCTTTGGCAAGTTCAGTCCCCTTTTCCAGGTCAGACAGCCAAAGCAGCTGACCAAAAGCAAGCAAGTGCTTCACCAAAAGGCGGGAGGGGATTGGACGAATAGTCGATTTTCATCCGAATTGTTCACTAGAGCCACCAAAAGGAACACGGACCTTCGTCCAAAACCTGTTGCAATCATGCAAGAGAATGTTCTCAATGAGGTACTGCATTCATATCAAATTACGCATTTGTTGCACGGCTTTGTTTGCGCAGATTCTGCATCGCATGGGCTCCAGAAAGGGCGTGTTTTTTGTGGGACACCTTTGCTCATGGCATGGCTCTTCTTGTGTCATATTTATAGGTTTGGAGGGTAAAGCAGAGCGAGAGCAAGCCTCATCAGGCAGTGCAAACTTATATTGGAAGAGCCGATAGCCTATAGTAGGATATGAATTGGTACCGTACCCGTTGAATCGTGCAACAGAACGGTGAAAGGGAGTTCAAGCCTGTTTGCAACATTTTGTGAACCTGTTGTATGCAATTTGTGTGAATGTAAGTGTAATGAAGTCGTTTCAGGGCTTCTTGAACGAGCGCCAAACGTCCTTAAGTTGGTATTTCAATAGAATGATGCTCCCAATGCCTTTGCAGGTGAGCAACCCAAGACTCCTGAGGAAGAAACTAGCTACATGTAGCTACCATCAATGAAACGTTGTTTCCTTTTGGACCGTGTTCATTGCAGTTTCAATCAATGTTCTTATGTCGCTTTCAATTGCTGCCACGGCTCCATGCACTTCGCAACGTCACATGGCACGTGGCACGTCACCACCGAGCGTCAGCGCGCCGCAGGACGGACGGGCGCGCGGAAGAGGCGTGCGGCACGGGGTGGGAGGGTCGAGCGGTGTGGAGGCCACCGTGTGGTTTGATGGTCGACAGGATGGGATAGGATGGACCGTGAAGTTCATTGGAGTGAGGCCTGACCTATGTCTAAACCTCACTCCTGTCCGGCGGCGCGCCCGCGCGTGCTGCGGCTTTCACGCCACCCTTCGTGGCGTTGATCAACCGCTCCGCCGGGTTCAGCGTCCAAACAGTCGCTCCGAGCGACCGGCCCAGCTTGGTATGGTTCCAATTGCTTCCAGGTGTGTTTTTGGGCCCTGTAGATCCCTGTAGTCACCCCCTCCCCCGAAGAAAGGGCACTGCTCGCTTGAAAGTCTTGGAATTCTCGGGTGGCCTTGTTTGTGCCGAGCTCATGGATGTGTGGTGTTGCACCCATAGTTAACAAATACCCTAGACCTCCAGTCGCACCTTCGTTTCGGTTCGGTGGGACTGGGGGCCCGGGTGCCACCAGTCGTACCTTTTGAGGAGGTACGACTGGAGCTTTAGCAATGAATAGCCCTAAAAACGCCTCAAACACCGCGTGGCCACCCCTTCGACGACGGAGACCAGCCGTGCAGGCTGCAGAAGGGGCCGAAGCTCAAGGTGCGTTACGGATCGCCAAACGGGTCGAGTCTAAACCATGGGGGGGTGGTTGGATGGTTGGATATCGAAGGCTCATCCAGAATCATCCACTAAGTCATTTGGGATAGCGTTTTTTGTCACAATCCACTTTTCACATCTTTTCACAGTGTAGTGTTTTTGGTTACAATATATAGTATACACTCCACTTTTCACGGTGTTCTGGGTCACATCACCTAGCGTGATGTTGTAGATTCATTGTAGATGATGCCACAACTCAAGGGGGGACGACTGTGATGCGAAGATTGTGAAGTTGTTTCTTGATACTCCAGGTGCGTGAGCATGAAGACTGCACCCTGCAGATTTGGCATGTGATGCTTTTGAGGCTGCTATAGGAGGCTTACCTGCAAGTGGTTTAATGGCCAAAGCTAAAGGACTGATTGTACCGATGCTGTTTGTGTGTGCAAGCACGGCGGGTGGCTATTGATGGTGAAGACTGGACTTGAGAGCTGTGAAAGTTCACTCCACTGTGAGGCGAACAAGCTGCAGCAATCAAGCGCATCCAGCTGGGTGTCTTGTTTGGATACCGTTTTTTTTTGGTTTCGACAAGGGTCAAGGGAAACCTGGTTTGTCTATTGATACCCCCTTAGAGGTTAAGGAGTGTACATTAACCACCCCTTGTGGGTCCTAGTATATGGTTAAATCCCCCTTGCGAGGAATATGTCCTACCGGTGGCATCAGGTTCGGTCTGCAAATCCAAGGGCATGACCCGTGGCCGCAAAGAAACGACATTAAGGAGGTCAAGCAAACAGGGTTTTGGAGGGTCCATGTTTGTTTGTAACCATCGACAATAGCAAAAACATCACCAGCACCTCAGCGGCACCTTCTTTCGACTGATGAGGTGTCGACTGGACATGGCCTCTTGTGTATTGATATAGATAGATAGATATGTATATATATATATACGATAGGTGCCTGCAAAGAACATCACTGTTGGCCGGGTAAACAGGCAGCTGCCTACTGACAACCTACCATCTTCTCAACACCCATACGGGTCGTGTTTTGTTCAGGAATCCACCCAATTAGTTTGGCTTAACATTTTGCTGGCCCACCTTCTTCAGACAATTTTCAGATTCCATTGGGAGCACGTTTGGTCTATTGGGCCAAAATCGCCGCAGGCCAACCACATCTCGCAGATCCGGCAGGAGAAAGCGCAAGCTCAGTGGAACAGAGAAAACTTTGTTTTCATGGAATTCATCAGGATCTTCAACGAAGAACGTGCCTTGAAACGTGAGGATAGTGATGGGCAAAATGGGTTGGATGCACTTGGGAAGTGTGGAAGAGTGTGGAAGGAGCAAGTCGGACTGCAGCGATCGGCATATCGCAGGGATCTCGTGGTGATTTCAGATCAATTCGATTCGAGGTTCGGGAGCTGGGATCTGAATAGATGGACAATCCGCAAACAGACAACTATAAGCAGACCGACCCTGCATAGATGTGAAAGAAATCAACCGCTTTTCGCGAGGTCCAGTTGCAGACTTGGCATTTTCGATTCTCGACCAGAACCTATTGGCTGTCAGACAGTGGGCAAAACACCATGACAGCAACCTTCTGAAAAGACCCCTCCCAAAATCCTCCGGCACCTCCCCTTCCACCCAACCTTTCTTCGTCCGTTTGGACTTCTTCACCTCCGCTTCGCGAATGCCGCGAGGCGATGAGTTTCAGAAGCAGCGGCGCTTGAAGAGCTTGTTGCGCAAGGGGCAAGCGAAGACTACCTTCACGATGCTGAATCGAGGCCGGAGGCCGCCATCGCTTCCAGGTTGGAGGCCACCGCCCCAAAAGTCTGAGACAAAAGCAAGCTCCCCAGTGAGAACGTCGAGCCAAGCCATGTGCGTGTACGCACCACAAAAGATCAAAAGAGTAAGCAATTTGAAGGGGGATTCTCATGATCCACTCACATCAGCTCACGACTCACATCCACTTGGTTAATAACTATATATATAATATATACAGGGTCTATAAGAACCACCCTTTTGGATCTGATGGGGCATGATGTATGTGTTCTGTTTTTGGTTGTTTGCACTTATGGCATGATGACTGACGTGCGGTCTCGTTTGTAGCATCGTCGTGTGCGGTCTCGTGTGGTGTATGTGTGCGTGAGGCACGTGCCCTGCACAATCACAGCAGCAGCCATTGCTATTTTTGACCCAGTTGAGACCCCCCCCAAAACACAGAGAAGACGAGAGTTCTCAAAGCAATAAAAAGGCACGTAGACGAAGACTTGTGTTTCAGGAGCTCGTTGACTCGTGGCTTTCGATATACGTACGTCATCACCCATCACTGGCCGCGCGCATCACTGGCCGCTTCAAGCACTGCGTGATCTGCGTGATCGGCGATCGGATCCTCGATTTTCATCACTTGCCACCAGGCGAGTGGCTGCCAGAAGTGATATTGCCATATACCCAGACACTCCATGTATGCCATATATGCCTACATCGACCCCTCAAACCACCCCAATGTAGGCATATATATGGCATACATGGAGTGTTTGGGATATGATGCCGACCATTGTGGTTACCTCGAGACATATGGGGGTGGTTCCGAGTTTGTTCATGTTCTATTGTTTTGAGTCTTTTTTGGGGGTTCCCCGACTCCCACGCGGCCGTTGTGGCACTTCCGACTTCCTGCATCATGTGCATTGGAAGTGCCGCTGTTTTGCCATCCCCGGGGCTCTCCAAAGGCTACACTGAGGAAGAAGAGGAGTATGAGGCTGAGGCGAACAGGGCGCCGAAGTCAGTTGCAGAGCGTCGAAAGCACGGAGGGAGAGAGAGAGACTGAGAGACAGAGAGAGGGAGAGGGAGGGAGAGCGTTTGGCCTGGAGGGGAGGAGAACATAGGAGAACCTAGCACAGAGTGCATTGGAAGTGAGCCTGAAGGATTATAGGGTGCGTGCTTTTCCCAGCTGATCAATCGTAAAGTATTTTAACTTTAACACGACTGAGATCCGGGCAGGTCTTCGTCAGGTCCAGAAGCTTGAAGACCCCAGAATTGCGAACCTTCTTGGACTTCTTGTCCAAGCGCCCCAGCCACAATTCTGGCGCCCTAGCGATGGTCAGGATGTGGAATTCCAAGATGAGTGGCGCAAAAAGTCCATCGTGGAAGACTATTGGAAAGCAGATGACTATGTCCAGACCTTCAAGAAGTTGCGGAAGGACCCCGATAGGAGCATGATGGAGCATATGATGTCGAACAACATGTTCACTATGTTCACGTATGTAGCATGGGCTCGAAAGGCTTCGCCATGCTTCAGCCATTAAAAGGTACTGGATCGTGTTTCAAGAGTTGCCTTTGTAGAAGGACTCCTGGGCCCCCTGGGTTCAATCACTTCAGGCCTAAAGTGGCCAACCCCCTTTTTTACTCTTTTTTTGAAACGGTCGAAGTTTTTTCTTCTCGGGGGCCCCTGGTCTACGTGGAACGCTACCAGACGTCCACCCGACCGAGTCCGTCCTGGCCACGCCGAACTCACGTCTTCGCCACCGATCCTCGCGAGGACTTGGAGCAGCAGAAGCCCTGGCCACGCCTGGGCGCGCGGACAGACCGCTTTGTGGACGTGTGGCCCGGCGTTTTCTGCGTGGACGATGGTCGGACCGGTCGGAGGTGGGAGCGTCGAAGGTGTTGGGGTGGAGCGAAGCATCCAAGACAGCCCCGGATCATGAAACCAAAGATGGTCTTAGTCATTCACTGAAGCCGTGTGATAAGGAGTAGCGGCACAGAGTCATGGAATTCTATGCAGATGTTTTGCAGAGGAAAAGAAGAGAGAAGAGAAGCCAGAAAGGAAAACAGAAGTGACATGATCATCCATCATCAGCGGTTGATCCCCCGGGCCGATCCTCGAAAAAACCGTTGGGCCATGTTGGGCCTGATCTTTGTCAGCCACATCTGCCGATCCTTGTGGCGATGTAGGACCGGCTCCCTTGGGGGACCGGCTCGAGCTGACTCGATTGCGCAGACCGCCGGACCTCCGCGACCTGCGCGACACGAGGCTCCGCGACGCTGCTGCGGCGGAAGTCTTGGATCACGAGCGGCCCGTGCTCACGCATGAGCTGGCAGACTTCGCGAATCCCTATATGATGAAGAGGAGTTTTGCAAGTGGATGTCCTCTTACTGTTGGTCGGATGATTGTTAAGCAATAGGGGGGATACCCCCAAGTGTGCAATGAACCGGTGCGTCCTAAATCATCCTCCACTGATCGTGAGGTCCCGCTGGAAACCCAAGACACGGCCCTTTGTTCATGGAGCGAGTTCTTGCGCAACGTTTGGCATGGAATTCGCTATGGCTGGCCAATTGAACCCTTGTGACACGCCACACCCCGCCCCTCCACAAAGCAATCCTCTTAGCCGTTCCATGGTTCCATGTGGTCCCATCCAGTGATGTTCGAGTTTGGCTCTGAGTTTGGCACCGCCGACTCCTAAAGTGCACCTTCCAGACACTCCAAAATCCCAAAGATTCCCAAAGCCCCAGTTGGTATACCTAGAACCTGTTCTTGGGCTTTGCCTATGGGTAAAGGCAACTTTGTCCGTGCAGAACATTGCCTAATGTGGTTCTAGGTATGTCAGTCCCATCAGATTGACAGTTCACTTGGACCTAAGCTCCAAAGCTCCAAAGCCCCCAGGAGCGCCGCCGAGCGCTTACTGCACGAGCGTTGCGTGCGGAACGCGCTGGATGAGCGGGTGATGCCGCGGCTGCTGGATGCACAAGCGGATGCTTGGAGGGCTTGGCCACGGTGGATGGAAATTACATTCCTGGTTCTTCAAAGTGACCTTTTGACAACCTGGCTTGAGGTCACTGAAGCCTCCTAAGGGTCACTTAGGAACCTTCAAAAGGTCACTTTGAAGAAGCTGGTTGCTATTGCCTGAAGTGCAAAAAGCTCAAAGAAATCCCCTTCATCCCGTGTCACAGGAACAGAAATTGCAGCATAAATGTGCTGAAACACAGAATATCACAGAATTATAGATCTCCTACGATCACTCGTTTTCACCGCCTGGAAATGGCTTCTTTGCCCAAACATTACCTCTTCCATCATCTTCCAATGCCGATTCCAACTCGAATCATCTTGGATTCCTTCGGATGATAGGCGCTTCACCTATACCGTCTATATATACCTAACCCACGACTATACCTATATCATCCTAGACATATATTAACCCACCGAAAGTCCTATTGAAGCGCCCGCGCCGGAACTGCCCCGCCTGAGGATCTCCTGAGGCTCCGGCGCGAGGCGCCGATGCCACCCGAGGTGCTGGAGCCCTTGGCCGCCTTCCGCGGCGACGTGCGATGGAGCTTCGACAGCCGCGAGCGCTTGCGGCAGAAGCTCCGAGGCGGGCACTTGCCTTATAGCTGAACTCTAGAACAACTGGATGGGATGGAGTAAAGAAATTGACAAGAATCCCCTTGAAATGGTCCTAAGAGGTCCTAAGCATGTCTTAAGCTTATAACTGGAAAGTGCTGCAAAAAAAACAGGATTACCATAGGATTCCACGATCTTTTGGAGTGCAGATTGCTTTCTTTGAACAACCGCTCTCCGAAAACTCGCGACATGGATGGCGGTTTGGCCACAATGAATGTTTGGTGGGATTGGTCGAGGTTCTTTCTTCCCTTGGGAGGGTGCTCCATCAACACCCCTTCTAAGAAGGTCTCATGAGACTTCCCTAGTGCCGACCGTCCATTTCGGTGAAGGTGGTTGTTTGGGTGGGTGCGTTTCGGGGGGGCCTATAGTCTATATAACCACCATACCCCGGAGATCTCCGAAGCATGTTTGAATGTTCCTCCGATATGTATGCTTGGGTTCCCTAAGTGTTGTTCTTGGACTGGCGAAGCTTCCGGTTTCTGGTTCTGTCTCCCAGACACTCAATGGGACTGTACCGATCAGTTGGGGTGGTGCCAGGGGCCTGTCTGGGGCGGCAGTCCTATCATACAACAATCACATGGAGTGTCTGGCTTTGCTTCATTTCTTCAAGTCTTTTTCGATCCGACGCCCACTCCTTCCGACACATCGGCTTCACCGGTGGCGACGCCGTGCCGATTTGAAGAAGCCGGCCATGTGCGTTCGAAATCGACACGAGATCCCGCACATATGTAGGCCACGCGGCCACGATCCACAGAGTTTCTAATAGATTTGCTTCTTATGAGTCCCCCTGGGCCCCTGCCTGCTCCTGCGAGGTATCAACGTAGCACTTGATGCGATCAAGAAAGAGGAAGACGTCATGAGGTGTTTGCCGGAGAACCAGGCGCCGAGACTGTTTTAGCTTGGAAGAGTGTTGCGTCTTGAAAAGATTTTGAAGATGTTTTAAGATCTTCGAAGATCTAAACAACTTGAGGGCCATTTTGGTTGCGGCGTGTGCTGATTCCAGCTGCTTGATTAGGATGATTAGGGATCAAGGTCTGATCTAGTAAATTGTGCAAGCAATATGTTTGCCGCTTTGCCATGCTTTGCCCAGCTGGCTTGTCATGCTTGTCTCTATGGACTTGCTTTACAAGAAGCCCTTTGGGCGAGGTCAATGGGTTCGCTGGTTGTCTTGCCACTGTAATCAGTAGCATCCAATGAGACATCCGCATACATCAGGATCGGTGTTTGGATCCCTGGACTCCTCAAACACCGAAAGCGATTCTATGTTTGGCATTGTTTGGTAAGACCGGCCTGGGTCGACCGAGGTCATGGTCGCAAGTCCATTGGTGGAATCCATGTCTGTGTCTTCTGCTCTTTTGGGTTGGAAATCCCCTCACCACTGGACTTCCCACCGCCATCCACCGCCCCAGTGCTTCCATTCGCATCAGTGCCGGCCACGAGCGGCGGAGTCTTGCAGGTGGAGGATCCAGCTCCTGATCAGCTTGCTGGAGTCCACCACCCCTGGCGCAACCACTTGGGAGCCATGTCGATTCCATGGGAAGTAGAGATAAAGGGAAAGCACGGATGGTTGTCAATGCTGCTGAATACGACTTCCTGGTTTTGGATGGTTTTGGGGCGTTGGACTAGGAGCACGAAGGCTGATTTGGGGTAATTGTGAGTAATTAAATATTGGATAGTAATTGAACTCATTTTTCCAAGGTGGAGAACTTGCTGTTCAGTACTAGTAGGATCAAGCGGCAGGCGTGCAATTCAACCGATGTGTCACCAGGAAAACGTCCTAGAACAGAAGAGACAGGGTGCCCTATGGGTCACGTGATATGATCCAGACACTCCATGTAATACTGCCATCTTTGCCTCCATGTCGGGTGGTTGGTGGGGGGCAAGGCGCCGGCCGCATGGCATATTCTTCCATAGACATGGAGTGATGATCTTGCACGTCGTGAGGGTCCGCCGGACTCATCGGTGTTTTCTGCGATGCGAGATGTTTTTCTTTCCACGGCCCCTGGGCTCCAGTCGTACCTTCTGAGGAGGTACGACTGGAGCCCTAGGGCAGTGTTTTTGGAGGGTGGTGAGAAGGTCCCGCGCCTATGAACCCTCGTTACATCGAAGACAAATAAATCCTTAGAAGTCTCCTTTGAGGCCATTTGTTGATGCTAAACCAGTGGCGAAAAGAGTGCCCAGAGGCACTCCTTTAGCATCCTTTAGCATAGCGGTGATATCGAAGTGACTGTCGGTCATGCCGTGGACCGGTCACAAGAGACGACGTCGGGTGCGGTCCGAGTGTGGCGGTGGCGATCCGAGTAGCGGTCGAGAAGTAGCAGATCGTTTGCAGCCACGAATCGTGAAGTATAGTGGGACGATCCAAGTCATAGAGATAGCCGAAATAACAATGACTTGAAATTGTTGAAATCACATGTTTCAAATATCATGGAAATTCAACATATCTTATCCATCCCTATATTTCTAGAGGGAACATGCTGTTCCAAAAGGCCATGACGATTCCATGGAGTACAGCTTCACGCTTCCAGAAACGCCTACTGTAGGAAGGCGATCGTGGACGTGGAAGGGCGGACCCCTGAACTTCCATGCCCCCACGGCCCGCGGCTCGCCCGCGTTCCCGCGTGGTGTCACCCGTGGAGACGGAGGCGGTGCCGCACCTCGCCGCCTACTCACCCCCAGGCTTCGAGTCGGCCGTGCCCAAGGGGACGGCGGGTGGCATCACCTTCGGACAGCCCGAGAAGTCCCTCTCGCAGCAGCTCGCGCAGGCGACGGGCCGGCGCGACGCGACGGGCGGTCGGCCGGTGATGCTCCGGCGGAGCATTGGTTCGGAGCCTCTCTTGGGCCTACCAAGAGAGGTTCGGGTGGTTTGGGCCAGGCATGCACAGTTTTTTTAAAAGAAATTTATTGGGAGGAAAAGAGGGGGTTCTGTTCTTGGCGTTAGAAGGGAAATTGTTAAATAGTTGTTTCAGTCTATGATTGGCTTGTTTGCTGCGCTGACATGGTGTTGGATGGTGTTGGTGATCGTTGGCGAGTGGTGTTCTGGCAGTAGATTGGACATGCAGATGGGATTGAAAAGGATACTGCCAAGCCCATTCCCCCTGGCCACGGATACCTCACGAAAAGATGGCTCATGATGGCTCACTTGGGTCAACCGACGCACGACCTGGTTCAACAAGATCTGCCAGGGCGAACCGACCCCCACCGTTCCCGCATGGCGGATCCCCCCCGGCCACGGTCCCGGGCACGGTCCCCGCTTGGCCAGATGCGGTATCCCACCCTGCAACGGGTGGCGCACACCTTGCCACGCGATCCCAAATACCGATCGCATGTGGCTCGCTCCATTCGATCCTCGGCATGAGGCGTTCGTCGTGTTTGGGGTTTTTGACGAAGAAGAGCATGGTCTTGCTTGAGAATGTCAGGGATTTGTGTGTAAAGGATCGTTTTAGATGGACTGCTGCCATTCATTTGCAGCTTGGTTGCTTGCTCTTCCTTGTCCTTTGACCAAGAGCGGCTCTTCAAGAGCGGCAGCGTGCAACAATTGCCATGTTGTGGGTAGCCATGTGTGTTTGCTGTCCTCGGTGACAATTATATACTTTCTGGATTCTTGAAGAGACACACGTGTTTGATGGTATTGCATGGAAAAAACGATTTGCCGGAGTCTCCTTTTGAACGATATTATGACTCAAGATGACACAAGAGCTTCCAAGAGGTGTTCAAGAATGTTTATATTTATATAACATAATTCTGATTCCTGATGTCTATTGAAGAAGGGGGTGGCACCGTGCTCCACATAGCGGTAGCAGACATTCCTGCCCATCCCAGGAGTCCTGGAGAGGAACAGGTATTGGGACTACCAATCCAAGTTGAATGCCATCAACCGGATGAAGGAGTCTGAGTTCGTGCTGGCGGTTGGGGGGCAGCGAGACAGACCGACAACTTCAAAAAAAAGCACACACATGTCATATACGCTAATATATATGCTATATACATGAGGTGTATACCCTCCCATGGTGATGATGGGCCCCAAACCTCAGTGCTTTGTAAAAAGGATACTTTACATGGTCTGTGAGGCGTGCTTCGTGGCGGTGATGTATTGCCTTTGTGTTGAGCATGGTTTGCGCCTACCGAAATGGTGCGCCCACACTAGCCATGTGGGGGACGGACCGCATTCCCGGAAACATCTCACCCATCATTTTCGTCACTCTCACTTCACCGAAGATTGGAAGGTTTGACAACTCTCGTTCTGTTTCGGTGGTTATTTCTTTGCACAAGAGACATGTCAAGGTAGTCCTCAGCAAATAAAGGACACCTTGAGCAAATCAATGCACGCTACGAACCACGTGATTTTGGTCCCACGTCACTCAAGGAGTCATATGAAACCCATGCCAAGGCAATTGGGCCAATGACATTGGCATGTGCCAGCCCACATGTTCACAGCCCACAGGCTCGGTCGACCAAGGGTTGTTTTCCAAGTCTTTGGAGACATCGAATGCATCCGAACTCACCACGGAGCCACAGGAGACCTACGACTATCTCAAACCCAGTGAGGAATACACCGAAGCTTTAGATGAAAAGCTCGTGGTGAACCGTGTGTTTGGCAAAATCCGACGGAAGCACCTTAGGCCAAAAGAGAGCTCAGAGAGAGAGAGAGGGAGCAGACGGGAATTGTGCTGAGATGTGTTGAGAAAACGGTTTCTATATGATCCATTTGGGGCATTTAGGAGCTATAGCAGGTATTGGCTTTCGACACTTCAGATTCCTTTCAGGTTCCTCGCAGATGCGTAAACGTCGACTTGTTGCATCGGCCATAGGCTTAGTGAAGCGTGTGTGTTCAAAATACGACATATATAGCACATTTCACCCTCCGAGTTGCACCTGGAGACCCCCTCAGCACGCATGTTGATTTTTTTCAATACTCATGTAAAGCAATAGGGATTATCATAGGGCCCCTACCGGACCCCCAAAAAGAAAGGCATCACTTCCACCTAGTGCACCAGTCCTGGATTTGGACGGCGCCTCAATGTGCCTTTTACATGTTATCAATTGTTATCATATCCCAAGCACTCCTTGTATGCCATATTTTTCTTTATGGGGTGGTGCCAGGGAGCATACATGTATGGCATGTATGGCAGTCCCATTAGTCGTGTTTGGCTACGTCACTTCCCCCCCCCTCCGTGCTCCGGGACTTCGCGCTTTTCATACCTCGGTGGGCTGAGGTATGCGCCGGACGCCGAGTATGTGAAGACCTATCCGAGACTCGCTTATTTGAGCGAGTGAGGGCTTTTGTTCTCTTTTGACATGGAAGATGCTGCTTTCGAACAACATCGACTTTTGGACTGGCCATGTCATGCTTTTTTCCATGTTGTTGAGCTATGGATTTTCCACCACGGGAACCGAAAGGAGCAAGGTCAGGGCGCCTAGCGCGTTTTGCGCGGAAATGATGATCGATGCTTTGGGCGCCGGGCCTATTGCATCGATGGAACGTGAGCCCTCCCAACAAATTCCCAGCCACCTACAGAAAAAGCGAGGTACACTCCAAGTCACCAACATGGGAAGTGCAGGAAAAACCACTTGCTTGGTATTATTGGGGTTTGTCATCCTTTTCTCGGGCATGCCATCCACATGGCCAATTGTTATGAGTTGTTTCAGGGAGTGCACTTGTTTTCGAGAACATGAAGTATACAACTACAATACTACAACGTCTTTTGCAACTCGGTTGGAGTTGCTGTCTCCCATGTCTCCCTGCCTCCCTGCCCTTTCCTCACCTCGATATTGGAGTCCAACCGTCCAAGTTCGTGGTTTTTCTTGGATGATGTCTTGGGTTCTCAGCCATCATTTACACCCATATCTTCGGTGCTCAGAACACATGCCGGAGCTCAGGAAGAATTTCTTGAAAGAAAAGAGCTACTACTGGTACAGGCGAACAGCAAGGGCGGTGGAGGGAGAAGTGAGTTGAAATGTGAAATCTTTACTTGAAAGAGTTTAAAAGCAGACCCCTCAACTTGATCTCCCGGTCAAAGGACAAGAATAGACTCTTATGGTGGCCTGGGCTGAGGTAATTATCCAACATTGAAGACTTCTAAGATCCGGCAAGTGATTTTCAACTCCCTTATTATTGATTTTGGAATTGGATCATTCACAAAATTCTTGTGACAAATGCGTCCATGATTCACCAAGGGAGCAGGAGGGTTTTGTTTGGTGTCTTGTTCGTTCTGCGCCGCACCAGCGACAACTACAGCTGGTCGCATGTTCAACAACTACAGAACTTGATCATGTGGATGTGGTCCTCCCCATCTAGGGGGTTTGCACTACCAAGCGGAATACAACCGCCTTCTTCCATGCCACCTACCAAGGTGGACGAGTGCCACAGTTTTCATTGACCGAAGGTAGAATTGCTGGGAGGGGGAGAGGCGAGAGGGGAGCAGTAATTTTTGACTAGAATTCCCCGGGATGCATAGTGAGTGAATATCTAGGGCATCCAGAATCGCCAATACAAGTTTACGGTAAGCTAGAGGCCAGGCTTCGTTGACTCTTTGATTTTGTCTGGTGACGCAATCGTCTTTGCCGTAGCTTTTGTTGACCCCAGCGGGCTTCAAGTTACATTAGCTTCCACGCCTTCGCATACACTCTTGGCCGTTGGGAGGCCCAGTCTGTTTCCTCAATCAAAGATCAGCAGCAAGAAGAAGCCGAACCGCTCCTGAGTATACCTTCTTGGGCTTCGTGGAATGCGCGGGGTGCATCACTGCGCAGGGTTCTCTTGGTCCAAAGGCTTTGGTGCAGCCAACGTATCCCAAATTCTCACACCTTACTGCCAGCAATGGTTTGACACTAAGGTGACACTCGAGAGATTTCCCCTGACTCAACGATGCTTAGTTGGAGTGCATGCTGCAAGCATTTGTAAGCCATCATGTTTCCCCATCCCCGAACGGATTCACGGAAGGATTCTTCTTCCAAAAACGGTGACGTAAGGTCCATGATGTTCCATGTCGGTTTTGTCTTTTTGGGATGCGGAATGGAGGAAGTCGGGGTATGAGAAATGCAAAGCCACCTATACAACTCCATGGATCTGGTGAAAGTCCATTATCAAGGTTTGGAAGCAGCTGAAAATCAGGGTCCAGAAACGACATAATATCTGAATGTGGGTTCATGTATTTATTGCTTTTTGATGCTTTTTGGACAAAAACACTATTCACGGTCCATTTTTATCTTCAATCTTCTGCATAAGTTCGACAGCGCATCGCCATTGGACATTGAATCGGTCGAAACATTGGCACCGTGTGTGCGGTCGGTCGGCTTGACTGCACATGGCAGCTGGTCCGACATTGTTTGGACACATCCGATGGGCGCTTGCGAAGAGTTGCCGGGGTGTGCAGCGGCCTGGGCGATCAGCATGTTACGGTTTTTCCCGAGGTCTATGCATCGTGATGCGTGACTAGCAGTTTGTCCAGTGTGATGAATCATGCTTGCCAGTGTCTGGCCTTTCTCACCACTGGGACAGAGTTACCTGAGGGCGACATGGAATATATTATAGAATTATCATATCCTTTTGTTATTTTTATTATAACCCACTATAACTGCGAGTAGTCTAGATGGCACATACCGTTACAAACAAGAGCCCAAGGCCTATCTGTTTAGTTTACCTATATAGGGCTGGGCACGGATCCCCATCAACACATGGAGCAGGGTTGGTGCATGTTTGTGCCATCTACTCTGCAATTCATGGTCGACCTAGATAATATGCAATGAAGGTGTGGGCCGTTAAGATCTCCAATGCGTTTAGGGCGCTCACCTGGATTGATTGATTTTGGAGAGTTCAAGAACGGCTTGATCTCCTTGTTTCAGCAGCTTGATCCGTCCTAGTAGCGATGCCCTTGGCCCCGTCGGCAGCGGTAAGAAGAGCGTGAGATCATGGACCCCTGCGAGTCAGGTGTCACGAGCCGAGTCAGGCTCACCCCGCCACACCTTTCGAGTGGAGGAGTTGATGACATCCCGCTTGAGGCTCCAGGCTAAACCAAACCAACCCCCCCAAAATACCACAGGTGGTGGTTTCGGATAGTTTGATGTTCAACCGTTCAACCTTAACTTATATAGGCTAAACCATCAGCCAGAACATACTTCGGACATTGAGTACAAGCACCATGTTTTATAAGGTCATGTCACGTCATGTCATTATTCAAATGTATTTTGGAGGGTCAGCAGCAGCAGCAGCAACAACCACAACAACCTCCACAACCGCAACACCAGCAGCAGCAACATCAACAGCAACATCAGCAACGTCAACAACAAACAAGTAAGAGAAACATCAACAGCAAACACAAACCCTGGGAGTCCATGGCCGGCATCCGCGCCCCAGCTCCCGGTGCGGGCCACGGGGGCCGGCGGTGGAGTGGTTCGACCGGCGGGTCCGTTGGGGACCGTTGTTTTCTCCCAGAAACACCCAGCCGTTTGAAAGACATGGTACCAGGAGTCACAGAGCTCGGGGTGGTGTTTGGTCCCCAAGTTGCTGGCAGACTCGCAGACATGCGAAAGTGCGACATGCGCTTTTGTGGTATTTCAGGAATCCGCTGGAATCCGCCGTCTTGGATTGGAACTGTTTGAGTTGTTGTTCGTTTGCATGGAAATGATATTATCCCTAGGGCTCCAGTCGGACCTTCTTAGAAGGCGTTTGGGGTGGGTTTAGAGGGTCCAGTCATACCTTCTAAGGAGGTACGACTGGAGCCCTAGGGTATGTTATTTCAAAATCAAACCTTACAAAATGTGGTATCCTAGTATCAATTTTAAAGAGCCATAGGTAGCCATTTGGTAAGCAATTTATTTTGGACTATTTTGTAGGGGAATTTGGGTGTTCATTGCTGGCCAAAAAACATGTCTTACTTCCCACTTGTTGCCAATGGAGCCGGTCATTTGGTTAAGAAATCAGCACTCGACACTTTGTCGTGGACCATTCATTTTGTAGTCAAAAAAGTGGTCTACAAATAAGTAGCGCGCCTTTTCATTTTGTAAGCCAAAACGGACTGTCCTGGAGTCCTAGGTCCACAATGCAAAAAGCAAGATGATCTATGGGTGCTTTTGATTGGACACCCCAACTCGCGGCCAGCACAAATATTCAGACAAAAAACACGGTCAGAGCAGCAGGCAGTTCGCCGGCCGAGTTTCGTTTCGCGCCTCGCAGCTGTGAAGCTCCACGGATCGCCTGAGTCGCAGTGCGCGAGAGAACAACGATGGACACTCATTGGCATCGGAACCACACCACCTTGCCCACGCTGGATGAGCCTTGGCCAGTGGCCTCGCCCGTTCGTTCCGTCTCGTGCCGGTGGTGCCGGTATTGCGCAGGTGGACAGTATTGGACAGTTGATGTTTGTTGGGTTGAACTGGCTCAACTCAGTCGTCTCAGTCCCCTCCTGACCTTGAAACACCCATTGCCCCTATATCGAATTCGGACTCTGAACGAGTTTGGTTTGGGCTTTAGTGATTTATGGGTCATGGGGGGTTGATTCATTCTTTGGCTGGATTTCTGGTTTGCTGGATCGGTGTCATGGCAGGTTTGTACGGACTTCGATTCGACTTCTTTGTCGCCACAGAAGGCCCCCCGTTGTGTTTGTTTGTGTTGATTGCTTGTTGTTCTAGCGGGGAACGGATTATATAGGCGAGGCTGAAGCAACTCCCCATTCAAAAACGTGATGAGCAGTAAAACAAAGAAAAGTTGCGTTTCTATATGTTTCTAGTCTTCCAGCTGCTCGCCTACAAAAGCGCCCTTTTCCAACCAAGACATGCAGACTCGCGCTGCAGAATTCGCTCGCAGATTCTAGAGCCCGTCTGTGGCGCGGCTTTTTGCCGGGTGTTTTGGTGCGCCCAAACAGTGGCACTTAGGAGCTCACCCAAAGCATGCAGCTGGGTAAGGCGATCACCAAAGTCAACTCCACTCAATCCAGGCAGCACCGGCGCCACGGGTGGATGACCAGGTCCCAGCGCTACGAGGTCGAAGGGCGGGCCCGTGCCCCGCATCTGGAGTGCGGGGTCGGTGCGGCTCAGCTTTCTTGCGAGGTTTTGACCCATCCCCTTAAGGTGATTGGTTATTTTCGCGTGGTGGAATCCCCAAACCTCTGGAATATGATGGAAAGTTGCGTCCTGGTTGCTGGACAGCAAATCCAAGTAACCATCCCTAACCTGACTTGGGGAAGCCAACTTCACCAGCAGCTTGGCCGGCGATGTTCGTGACAAACAGCGCCACGTGGCTGGCGACGGAAACGGCCTTTGACGGGAGGCCTCAGTGGGAAGACTTCCGGTCGGAGATGATGGAGGAGACGCAAGGGGCCTACGAGCTTGGGAGGCCTTTGGAGCATTTTTGGATCCAATTGGTGTTTGTTTTTTGGTGGGTTTTGGAGCCACAAGGGAAATCGAAAGTTTCCCATCTCTCCAAGTGACATCGTTGAGCTGTGAGCCGTCTCCGGATGGCTTTGGAACTGTTCGGTGGACCCCAGTTAGGGGTGTAGCAGGCGTTTGGCGTTCCCCGAAGCGGAAGAAGTGTAAAATTAAAGATGTTTTTTTTTCAAACATGTGTGTTGGGATCCAACTTGTAACAAGTAACAAGCTCCCAACCTCCCATCCTCCCATGTGGGTGGAGGGAGGAAAGGCCTTGCCGTCCATCCTGACTGCAATGGGCAGGTTGAAGACCATTTGGGGCATGAAGTTTGAGTTTGCGCTGCGCACTGCCGTTGCAGCCTTTTTGGCTTCGATCTATGCGATGCAGCCGGAGGTGGGTGTTGTTATTGGACCGAGCTATTCAGCTAAGGCCCCTGACGAAAAGGAGGGCGTGACATGAACATGAAGATCCTGAAGAGGGTGTCACTGGACAGGAGGTGTTTGTGCCCCAGCACCTCCAGTGAGATGCCTGCAAGCTCTTAAATGTGCTTGTTCTTCTTCCAAAAAGCATGTTGTTGTCCCAAGTTCGAGCCTCAAGACCCTCAAGTTCGATCCTCCATTCTTGATTCTTTCGGATGACCGCCTGAGCGGTCACTACGACCGTCAGGTGCACAAGGCTGAGTGGGAGAACGCCACCGTCTTCGCCCCGGTGCTGGCCGTGGCCTGTGTCTCCGGCCCCAGTCTAGGTGCAGCATGGCGGGATTTGCGTTCCAGCAGCTGTGCGGGTTGAGGGGGGCGATTGGCCAAGGATGCAGCAAGATGTTGGCACATGTTAGCACAGCAGCCTCCAAGACAAAAAAGATACAGCAACTGGGTGCGGTTCATTGGGCTTTTCGTTGAGGGTAATGACATGTAATGACAGCATTTCTTTCTGCATCTTTTGGTAGAGAAGGGTGCTGTAACATGTTGACGTCGTTGGAAGTTTGGACAGTTTCTCCATGGGCCAAACTCAAGCGATCATCAGAAGACCTCTAAAAACAAGGAACAAGCACAGAAAAAAAAGCGTCCAATCATTTTGCGGGTTTTCTTACCCTAGGGCTCCAACAACCTCCGTGAAACGAAGGTGCTTAGGGTGGGTGCCAGAGGGGGTCTAACCATCTTTGAGGATATGGTTGGAGCCCTACAGTTGGTTTGATATTGCTTTTGATGTGATCGAATCGTTATCGGTCTCATGGTGCTTTTGCTGGCCGGATATGGCTAGCAGTGTCTTTTTTCGGGTAAGCGGCGGCAGAGGTCCCACTCCCAACTTCGTAGCTTGGTGTGCGACATGAAAGCCAAGGTTCATTGCAGGAGCTTCGAAGTTTGCTTCCATATGGTTGCTTGAGCTCTTCAAACTTGAATAAATCTGCTGTAAACTTGCTGCCTGCGTTCTTTTTCTTCTCAGGTCAAGCGGTAAATCAATCAATCCATGTAGGCACTTCTTCCGACGCCTAACCCGACGCATCTGCCTGGAGGTGCCACCCTTCATCACGCGTGGGAGATGTGGCAGGTGGGCTGTGAAGCAGTTTCAAGAGGTATGTGAGGTATGTCATATAATTGATTATCAGTTGTATATATATATAGTATATATAAAAGCCTCACGGAAAAGGGCCACCATCCAAGATACCATTAAAGGATGCTATATATATGTTTGGATTATGTGCTTGAAGTGTTTATCGTTTTAGTTTCTAGCACGCTGTACTAATCGTAAAAATGCCAGTGCACCGAACCATACCGAACCTGTATACTTTCAATAGGGCCAAACAGATCTAAAGCCAGCTCACCGTAAGGCCACGGTGATCGGATGCCTCTCCAGTATGATTGTGAACGAAGTCTTACGTCCAGTGCAACCGAATGCTCTGCGCGAAGCGCTGATGCTGGTTGGCTTCCTGCACTTTGGCAGGGACCGGTTAGGGCACCGTACAAATCCACCAGGTGGATTGTTGCTTCGAAGTACTTCACCATTATTAAAGAGACGAATGCCAGCAGTTCCATTCCATGTCGGAGTGGTGTTCAGTCCTATTCAGTGAGGTCATTGTTAACTCGTGCGGCGTGTACCCTCCGAGATTGTTCTTTGCCTACTTATGGAACTCGTTATCGTAACAATTCCATTTTCAGCTTAGATTCCCTCAACTACTGGGATTTGGGTCTGGAATGCAACCACCAAGGGTCCCAGCCAGTAGTTGAGAGTATCTTCTTAGGGCATGTGAGGGCATGGTTGATCCTCCTGTGAGGCCACTATCCTCAGACCACCTACCGGTTTTCCTGTGTCCGGGCGAGAGGTCATTTTTTCTTTGGTTGTGGAGGACATTGACTTACAAAGGGAGGTTGCCTGATGTTTTTCCCTGTGACCAGAGACAGCACCCAAACCTACTCTGCGTGACCTGTACCTGTACCTACCCTGTATGACCTGTGTAGCCCACCACCCAACTGATCTAGCTCAGCTCATTCTTCCCCTACTTCAGCCTTGAATTTCAATCCCCAGACACTCCATGGGACTGCCATAGGACTGCCACCCCATTGACCCCTCAAACCCACCACCCCAATTGATCGGTAAATCTGACAGTCCCAGTCCCATTCGTGTTTGGGATCACTTTCCTCTTGAACCCGCAGACCTCTTTCACCTCCCCACTCAACCCGAGACGAGCCGAGGTCGACGGTGTTCTTCCTTTGCTCCAGACCCTGGGCCTTGGTTCAGAAGCGTGTCTCTGTGGGTGTGATGCTTTGCGGCACCATCAACATGTCTGTGCATCAGCACGAGAGCCTTGGCCGAGCTAGGACTGGTTACACAGACATGCTCGTGACCCGTGTAAGGAACACAGCAGGAGCACCAACCACACGGTTCGGAACACGTGAATTTCAGTTTGACCAATGCCAGCACCCAAGTGAACAGTGCAACTTCTTGTGGAGTGTTTGACTTCCACCTGAAGCCTGTACAGTCTACTGACCTTTTGCATGTACTGACTTCCACCAGTCACGGTTCTGTGGCTTGAGATATTTTGATATATGTACACACCCACAAAAACACATTTGTCAAATGGATCTATACTATGTGTGTATATAGTTATGTATATAATTTATATGCATGGGTTTGACTGATGGTGCACATCAACACCCCCACAAACGATCAGCATAAATCAGTCACAGTCATAGATTTAGATCAACACCTTTCTGTAGTCTATGGTCAAACGGTGCCTCACAACCCTTTTGGCATGAGTGTAGGTAAACGTCATCTACCACTTGTATCACAAACACTCCCCGGCCCATGCTGCCATCATGCTATCATGTATCAAGGGGATGATCAACCAGCTGCTTCTGTTCGGGGTGACCTGGCTGGACAACCCTGACTCTAGGTGCACCACACCAGAACCACCCAGACAGGAATGCTCGGATCCACGGCTCGCTCCCGCTCAGGAAGCCCTGGTGGTTCCCTTGGACCATTGGTGTCCCCTGCTCCTTGGAGCAGCGACGCCGGGAGGAAATGCTCCGAAGAAAAGACAGGAAATGAAAACGGAATGTTCCTCACTCGGCTTTGGCTGAGTGGCGGTCCATGGACCGGCCTGATGGTCAGCAAGCGCCGTTGCGTCTGCCAGAAGGAGAAGGGGTGGAAAGACGGTTTCACCTCACAATGAGGACACATTGATGACACGGAACTTTCTTCAGTTCACTGAAGTACTCTCCCACAGTGCCACATCATATAATGCATGTGTTGGTGTGCTTTCCCCAGTTGCTCGAAACCGAAGGCCATGGTCAAAAGGCAGTGCACACACCATGTTTGGCGGGCCTCTCGGTGATTGGTGCACCCCAAATCCATCACCTTGATCAGATCTTCCATGATCTTCTCGAAACCACTTCCGCCCCCGGGTTGGACTGGATGCATGCCAAGTAATTCCAAGCAATCCTGTTGGCCATCCGGCCTCCTCAGGGTGTGCTATCACCACGGGTGCTGTGTGGTAGTACTTCGCCTCCTCCGCGCCGAGGTACGGTGGGAGTGCTGTGCGCGGTGCTCGCCATGGTGCTGCCGCCGTGGTTTGCCTGTAAGGAGCTCCGCCAGCGCTTGGCCTTCCAGGCGACCAGAGACCTGCCGCTGGCGATCGACGTCCTAGTGACCTAGTGGGTTGAGCTTGGAATATGTTGAAGTACCAGTGGTGGCAGAGGAACCCCACCTCATCCTTAGCATCATAGGCACCAGAGGTTTTCTTGGAGATGTTTGGATTCAAGGATCTTAATGTTTGTTGTTCTTGTGTGTTGCGGGACGTGTTCTTGTGCGAAGTTTCGATTTTTTTGAGCGACTCAATCCAGCCCCAGACAGACCCTGGCAGAGGGGGACGCTGGATGAGATATTCTGAAGCTAAACACTTGAGATTGGATTTCCACTCCAGCAGTTCTTTTCATGTAAATCTGAATCTTGGTGTTCGTTCCCTGCTTAGTCATTAGTCTATTAAACAAAAAATCAACGATTGGACCATACGAATAGTGGAACAACACGTTGAATTGTCCCATACCTCGGAGCGTAGCCTGGGGACAGGTCTGGACACCTGAACTGTGGGGACAGCCATGGTGGAACCATGTGACTTCTGGGAAGCAGCTGGTATTTATTTAATGTATTTATATATAAGTCATTTGTTCTACAGTATAGGTGGTTTCATGATATGTTTATGGTCAACTTGGCAACTTGGGATGCTTTTTCACCCATGACGACATTGTTTTCGTTCCTGAGTTGATTTTCCAACAACCAGGCATGTTAGGTGAATGGTTGGCCTTCCGTCTCCATGTTCCACCTGTCGGTTTAGCGGGCGGAGGCCTTATCCGAGCGCCAGGCGGGTCAGAGGGAGGACGTGGCCGCAACGCTTGTTTCTTCGTTGATCGGACGTGATCGGTTTGCAGAAGATACGCATGATGTCCCAGCCATACTTGTATGGATATAGCAGATGCTTCATAAAATGAAGAAAGACACCTAGCTGTATGTACAACCAATTGTAAAAGATACCTCACAACTAAGCAACTGGTAAAATATATGCCTCACATATACCTCACCTATCTCCAACACCTCCCATAGAATTGTCGAATCCCGTACGCCGTCCCACCCTGGTGGGGCACCAGGTCCTGGTGGAGCACTACACGGCCTTCTTCTCCAAGTCACGCACGCACCACGCGGCGGCAGCTCATCGGCCGCTGGGCCCGCAAGCAGGGTGAGGAGGTTTAGGGGCGACCCTTAGGGAGCAGGGACGGCCTAAGGGACGCCATGGAAGGACCATTGCCATTGACCCTGTGGCCCATTGACGCCACGGACCGTTCGCAGCTTTCGCCTGGGAGGCTGGAGACCTTCCGCGACAATCAGCTGAAGATGAAGAGCCTTTTGCCGCTGGGGATTTCACACGGGCGGTGTGTGTTGGGGAGGACAGGCTCGCGGCTGACGAGCCTGCTTGGGTGCGCGCGAGGCACGCAAGTGACATGTGTCACGTGAAATCCTATTATCGACCCCTGCTTCACCTTTGTTGTGCGTAGTATTTCCATGGTTTGTGCAGTATGTAGCATGAGGATGTGGCAACTAGGACTTGCTCAGATATGAGGTAGCAAGCAATGTGAGTATGACGGTTGCCTCAACTTGAACTGAACCATACCCATCGCGAGAGGAACAGAACAAGAGTCTGAATCCCACATGCTTGCGCCACGGTCGTTCCATCAATGCAAAAACTAGCATGCCTAATTTTGGATGATCGGACCTAACAGGTCCTGTTCTGTTGTTTACTCTTAGAGCCCAAGAGGGCCCTGGGACTTACAGACACACACAGACTGCGACTCCGACACCTTACTGACTTTCACTGCGCTAAGGGGTCCCGCGTCCTGGGAGCCGGAGCCCAAGAGCGATGAGAGACCAAGCTCCAAGAGCGATGACTGCAGCTTTCCTGAGGTTTCGTCGTTCCACTGAGACACAAAAAGGGGTATGGCAGAGACAACTCGAGCCACAAGACTTGTATACTCACAGCCGACGGTGCTCATAGGAACACATGTTCCAGGCATGAAACATTTGATCGAAGTCAGGGAAATCAGGAACAACTGCGCAGTTCCTGTTCTGAGCCTGCCCGTTCAGCAGGCGACATTCATATACATGTTGTTCGATGCAGCGTTCTTGGCTGCTCGCTTCGCTCCGGAGTGAGGCTCATTCTCATGCCCCAGACATGGACTCAACTGAGCTTGGCGGTGAAGTTCTTTGACGCTCAACTTCTATGCCTCAGGCCGGACTGGTGGTTGTGGGGTGCCGTGTTCTTTTCAAGGTTCGATGTGAGCAGAGTCACTGTGACAGGGCCCACCTGTGCAACTACTGAGGTGTCATGAACACAGGTTTGATCTTAGGGGTTGATTGGACTGGTGAGGATCAATACCCATACATGAGCCCAGGCAAAATCCAAGTGTTTCAACAGGTATCACGGTATCACCCACATCAGAGGCGCGGACTGACTGCTGTCATATCCACCAGTGCAGGGGCTTTCCAAGCCTCCATGACCCAGGTGCCACCTCCGAAGCCCCAACCCCTGACGTCCACCCAGGGTCCTGTGAGGTCTTGTGCCACTTTCCCCAGGCGAGTTCAGTTGACCACCTCCTCAGTCACGCAGGGGCTCATGTCCACTTCGCACGTGCCTTGGTTTGCGGAGAGGACGAAGCAGGGGGAGATCGTTGTGGAGCTCCTTCTGGGGATTACCGTGCCACGGAAGTGAGCCTACGATCATGTTTGGGTGAGAGTTTTTATATAATCTACTTGGGCTGATTGATCCCATTGACCATTTGTGGGTTGGGACCGCAGTCATGTTCTTTCGGTGCTGGGCTGTTGGGCAAGTGCCTAGTGGCCCACAGTGAAGCGTTGAGAACCTGGACTTTGGATGATTCCGTGCACAAAAGCAGCGTTTTGGAAGGTGTCTCAATCACTCGGCTACCCCTACCCTCCCTCCAACAATCATGGTTATAAGTCGATGGCATGCCGAAAGACCATGAACTTCTCCATGGGCATAGAGGAGCATCTCCAGCTCCATGGGGAGCTTCGCTCCCTCTTCCGCCACTTCGCTCCTCTTCCGCATCGACCTGACCGGATCGACACACTGTCGGACTCCCGGGGGGGCTGACGCACGACGCACGACGCACGGAGCGGAGTGACCGGGCTCGAAAACTGAGATGAAGTTCAGAGAGGCCACCGAGGAGTCGTGGAAAAAGAGCATGAAAGGCCTAGCAGGCCGGGCTGGGCACTGGGTGGCTGCCCGATGGGTGGCACTGGGTGGCTGGCATGTGGCCGATGGGCGTGGGGGGGATGTTGGGGGAGCAAAAGAGTGTGGCAAAAGCTGGGAAAGGGGCATGATCATGGTGAAATGGATGACCTGTCAAGCATACTGGATCGGCATTGGGAGTCAGGGAATTCTTTTTTTTTTCTGGTTTGTCACTGGCTTTGTTTGCTCAGAAGTTGATGGCGAGTCAGCGGTGAGACATGGTGGGGCACCTTGCAAGAACATCAGAGCTCGGTTGAGAGCCTAGCAAACTTCCAACATGTGCAGGTCACCCTCACCCTACCATGGGTTTGCTTCTGACACATGCTCAAGACAGCCGGGGCCTGCTGATACAAAGTAGCAACAAGCACTAACCGACCTAACCGTGGTCCTAGGAGTTTTCCAGTTTCAGATGTGAAGCACCAATCAAAATACATGACATGATGCGCTTAAAATACACTGCATGGAACAAGGAACAAGGATGCTTCATTCACCAGCACCCTGCCTACCCCATAGCCAGGTGTGGTGGACGATGTGGTGAAGGCGGCACCTCGCCTGTGACAAGAGAGGGGCTTCGGTTTGTGCGAAGCTAAGGGAGAAGACAGGACACCTACGACAGGGTCAGGACACCTGAATGACAGAGTCAGGAAACCTCAACGACAGAGTCTGGACACCTGTCGAGGAGACAACAATAACAAGAAGAACGAGTAAAGACATGCAGAGGAGTGGTCCGTGAAGCTAATGTCCTTCACCAGGAGTTCCGTATACACCATTATACACCTAGGTGATGCTGGGTGCTTTATATACAGATAAGCCTCTAGTAGTCTAGGATGTTGGCCCTTCCAGCCTCCAAGAGCAGAGAATGGACACCTTCTAGGCCTCCAGAAGAAAATCTCGCGTGACGCATTTGGCCGGGCACGGCACGTTTTCAGTTTCACGGGACCGCAACCGTCCGATGCTGCTGCGGGCTGCTGTACGCACCGCACCGTCACGCTGCCGCCTGGCCCGTCCGAGGAGCTGAGCGGACGGGCCATCTCGATGGACCTGCTGGAGCATTTGAAGGAGACCGACCGGTCCTGCTGTTCCCGACCCGTCTCCCGTCGCCGGTCGGCTAAGTCGTAGGTCCGGCTAAGTGAGAAATAGTCCAGGCGCCTCTGAAGATGGTGGTTGAATGCAAATGGGTGGGTCCTTTTTTGATTAAGAGTCTAGAATCATTAGAGAGAACTATCTCCAACCCATGAGTTGTCCCAGTTTGGACCAGTAAAGCGTGATTCGTATTCCCAAAGCATCCCAAAAACCATCCAAAACTATCCAAAACTCGTGAAAGAAGTCACGCTCTGAGGAGGGGCAGAAGCATTTGGATCGAGATATTTTCCGGGCCCGAGCCGAAATCATGTACCAGAGTGGATGCTCGGTTTGGAGTGGAATACATCGTGCCAATCATGGGCGTTTTTTAGCACCAAAAAACACCGTTCATTTGGAGGACCTTCAAAGCCCGGCGATGTGTCACCATGAAGGCGATTGAACGGATGTTTATTAATGCTAAGCCAGTGAGTCCAGTCTTCTCAGGTTCTGTGTGACTCTCTCTCTTCCGGGCTGTTGACCCTCTGGAAGAGGGCTGACTTGCCGGAACACTGTGCCTGGTGGCACACTGATAAGTAGTCGCCAGCAAGCAAGTGTGGCTTCTTTTGCGGGAGGCATGCTTTGGAACCATGAAAGTTGACTATCGGGGATGCAAATCATGTGTCGCCAAAATCGTGTGCTGAACACCTAGCGACCCCTAGCTTGAATGGTCCAGCGTTTTGCCTTCGCTAATGATATAGTTCGGAGAGGAAGACACCGTCCGAGAACCAACACTTTCCAGGAATGTCTAATTTGGGGACCCTGAGCAGCTCAGATCTTTCAATCTGACCTTCTCTTTCACCGGTGGGTCGCACAAAAGCATCTCGGCCACCGAGTCCTCAGCCAGTCAGAGGCTGCGCAGCATCCGCAACCGAGGATCGCAGTTTGAAGAGAAGGAGCACCAGCCAGTACATCACCTGCAACACGTGAACCGCATGGCCTGCTACTTTGCCGTCAACGAGCTCATCTCGGCCACGGTGCGGTATTCTCGAAACGACCGAGCCGTTGGGGCTTCAAGGTGGATCCTGGATGCAAAGACCTGTGTAGATGCAGGCAGGTGTAGTGGACCATCCATGGTCACAGTCACAGTATGTCAACATCGAATCTCAAAACCCAGCGCCGAAAACGCTCCATGCGCCGACAAAAACACGCTCCAGCTGAGAGAAGTGTGACTTCTTGGCCCTTTTGGATCCTTTTGGGCCTTTTGGGTCATATCCATTGAGTCACCAACAAACAGTGAAGGGACTTCCGTCCACTTCAAGCTGTGTGAGGCTATTGATGTTGATGCGATGACCTCTACTGGCCTCAATTTGTAAGTAGGTAGGAGTCAGTGGACTGAACATACAAACATATTTTGTCGCGGGGACTTCTGTCCAGATACGCCGCAGGGCCTTCCATCCATGCTGTAACCAGTGTGCATGGCCCCACAACTACGGATGTGTTTATACCTGGCAGGAGACCGGATGGGTTTGGACTTATTCTGGGATCTAAGTTTGGTAGATTGTAGGCTCTTGATTGTTCCAAGATGATTTCAGCATGTCCCATTCAGGCTCGACAAGGCCTCTAAGTTGTTCTCAAGAGTCCTCCTGATGCGTTTGGCACCTCCACACCCGACCTATTGGTTTGCCAGCTCGACTGCCCTGCCCTGCCACAGGCGAAAGCAGCCACCGAGGCCGCCCACTCGGAGAGGCCTGTTTTTGCTTCGCGCAGCAAAGACATGTGATCACCTCCCACCAACGGACCAAATGGAACCGGAGAATTGACTGGTGGTTTGAAATCCGAAGACCAACCCGACCGTGGTTGTTTGGGGTTCCGTTCTGTGGTCCTCTGCGGGGGAGTAAGAGCTGGGAGAATCCCAGCTGGCAGTCCCCTGCAGATTGTAGAACATGGAACCCCACAACCACGTCGGGTTGGTCTTCGGATTTCATGGTTGAAACCAGTCACAGGTTCAGTCTAGTTTGCGGGGGAGGACATGGGCACCACCTGTTTGGTATTCGGATTTCATGGTCATCCAAGGGGCCAGGCCATCCACTTCCATGATTATTTCAGGCAGTGTCAGTCTAAAACCGGATGATTGCAAAAACATTTCAGGGGTGATGCCAAGTGTTCTGGCCCCGAGCAGTGGAAGTGTGCAAAAGCAGAATTCAAGAGCTCCATGATGTGTGCTGCAACACGTAGCATCCATATCTTTCGACCAGTCTTTCGACACTCATCCGGATGAGCACAATTGGACATCTTTCCGACTTCTTTGCGATCGATATGGGAGGCCAAGTGACCCATGTTCCTGCTGGAGGAAGTGTTTGAAATGGTTTGAGCTACCTCCCAGGTGGGCGCCGAACGATCCCCCGGAGGGCGCAAGCCCGCGAGCGACCTGTGCGTGGGCGGTGGTCGCCGGCGCGGGTGGGAAAGGGCGTACTTGCTTGCGCCAGTGCCTGCGGAGGAGCCACCGGTAGGTTGGTTTCGAAGAGGCACGTCCAAAAAAAGAATGCATTAAAAAACGCATCAATAAACACAGAATGAAAAGAGACAGAGAAAGGAAGAAAGGAAGGAAGGGACGAAGCAGGGAAGGAAGAAAGGAAGCAAGGAAGGAAGAAATGCAGCAAGGAAGGAAGGAAGGATGGAAGGACGGTAACAGAGAAAGGTTGCAGTTTTCAAGGCTGAAGTAGCCTGTGTGAGATACACACATATATAAGTTTGTTTTTTGTTGATTTACTGTTTGTGTTTTTTTTGATGCGGTTTTGATTTTTTTGATCACTGCTTCGAGTGGACTGACTATTGCGCTTCCCTCCGCGCGTTTGGGTCCGTTTATTTTTTTGTTGATTCATTTTTTCTTGATCCCCTGAATTATACCTTTTTTGATTCATTTTTAATTGTTTTTTGATCCCTCACCCGCACATCCTTGTGGCATGGGAGCTGAAGACAAATATAGACAGCACAGCTGGATGATATGATGATGTGACATGGCGCCAGCCGTCAAGACATACAGTGGAAATCAGTGGAACACAATGGAACAGATGCACTTGATCCTGGGTGTTCTTGATTTGTTGATCTATCCTCTATCCATTCTTCTCCACTCGGTTAGTCCTACCCTATCCATTTCCATCTCCATGCCCCCCGGACAAAGAATCGCCTCACCGATGCCTCCCCTTCCGCCGCTGTTGGAGGCACCGGGCGAAGAATGCCTTGAAAAAGGTGATCTCCTTGGGCTTGTCGGGAGCCTCGGTGGTCTCGGTGGTCTCTGCCGCCGCCGTGGGAGGATGGATCCAACAACTGGGTGAGAAGCACATCACCAACTGGGAGGGATTGTGACATACCACACGGATCCACACGGAAAACGATCAAAACACATGTTGGTTCCTTATCATGGTCCTACCGAGTCCTACCTGGCTTCCATGAGACTAGTGACTAGAACACGCAAGAACCGTTCACGTGTGCCTTGCATCGCTCCGATGGACGTCCTCGTCGCATTGCGTCGCTCCGGTGAGGCTGTGTATCGGGGCTTGGATTCCTGAGTGGCGTGCGAAACGCCCAGAGTTCATTTGGGCCTTCATTGTGTCTTGGTCAGTGGAGAGGAAGCGTGATGCCCGGTGCATGCGCGTGATCTTGGGCAGAGTGACCATTGTTCATGATTCGTGAGAGCAACAAAACAGTTCACTCCAGGAGTCACGAAGGGGTTGCCTTTAGTACTTAGTCCTTGAGTGAGTGGACGTGTGAGTGGATAATGGGCACCCTTATCCTCTAATAGGCACCCCTTTGGAACTGCTGACTTGTGTTTCTTCTTCTAATTCTACTCTAGTCCTAGATGACTAGCCACCAGGTCACCATCCCAAGAGTACTTATCCCAGTGCTTTGCCCTTTCTTGTGCCCTTTGAAGAGGAACCAGACACCAGACACCAACTATTGCCCTACTGTAGCATGCTGCTGCATGCTTTTTGAGCTGCTGCATGCTAGAAGAACCACGTTCCCGCGGCCGAATCAGAGAGAGAGAGGGGGAGAGCTGCACTTCTTGCCAAACATGGTCAACCACGATCAAAACATCTCAAAACATTGTTTTTTTCCTTCGTTCGTGTTCTATAGCGAATTGACTCAGCAGCTCGCCACCAGCTTATCCTTCGCAGCTTTCAGCTTTCAGGCTTTCTACAATGCAATGCATTCCTTTAAAAAAAGACACACACACACACACATCTCCTGCTTCAGCCAGACATCCGCCTCCTTCGCGACGCCGGGAGCGCCCCGCCCAGGCGGCCAGCTTCATTTTCTCGGACCTGGAAGGCTCCTCGATCAGCACGGGCCTCGGCCGAGTGATCGGCACCTTGTTCGGAGGCCTGGCGGAGTCGCGACCGGACGGGAGGACACGTGACAGTGAAGGTGGCCAACCGGGTGACGGTGCAGAGCAGAGAAGAGAGAAATATCTTTGGAAATCATGAGAAATCCATTTAAAAACACAATGAATTAGCAGAAATGTGTGAAACCCTCCCTTAGATAATTCTGTTTTTGGCTCTAAGATGCTAAAGGAACAAGGATCCATGTTAGTTCTTAGGAGTGTGGTCAGATGTGATCCGAGGGAGTCTTCCACTCCAGCCCCTGTGCTCCCCCTAGAGCTGGGTGCCTCAATGCGGAGCGATTTTTCTGTAAGCGTTCTTGTTCCACCACTCTGCCAGGAGCCCCGAACGTAGCATCCTTGCTCCCAGTAGTAAGGCCAGGAGCCCCGAACGTAGCTTCTTCTTCCCTAGTAGTCAGGGGAATTCCGATTCCGGCCACTGTTCTTTCAGCACCGCGACACCTGGAACACCGGCACGGCGCATTGGATGCGCATGGGGTGAGGCGCTAGAAATCGGTGTTTTCGCTCGTTTGGAACCATCCAAGCTTAGATCGCCCATTCTTGACTTCTTCGGCAGAGGTCTAAGGCCGTTTATGGCCCCATTTTGACTCCATGATCTTCATGGCTGGCCCCTTTTTCAATCCTTATTTTCACATTTCATCTGGTCAGTTGCAGGCATGGTGGGCTTCATCGTGCTGGAGGTCTTCCACTTCATCACTTGGCCATGGAAAGAGTTAGAGATCGCAGTGGCCTGGCCGCCCTGCGCCGTGCGTCCCAAAAAACGCACAGTCCCGGGGAAGGGCGACGCTGTGCGTCGCTTGAGCCCGGGCGGCACCTGAAGAGGTGTCCTCAGAGGTGTCCTCGTTTCGTGGAAGGCTTTGGACGCGCATCCAGCGAAGTTCACGTTAGGCGCCCCAGGTGGTTCCGAAAGACACAGGTTCCTGGCTAGTCACTGGAGCAATTCCGAGGGTGCCCAGGCGGCCAGGCGCCATGTAGCTTCACTTGTGAGGAGGTGCATTTGAATATAATGTTCGTGTAGTCAGTGTAGTCACCCCTTGGACAAAAAATCTCAATCTACCTAGACTCTACCGTAGACCCTAGATTACCCTGGCGTGGGTTTCGAAAGTGTACAATGAGTAATCAGTGCAAGTGTAGTGCAAGTGCAGGGTACTCCATGAAAGTGACTGTCGACTTGTATAGTGGATTCAGAGTAGATGGCACAAGGGCCCCCAAGTTAGGAGGAGGGCATGATGCATCAGTTGAGGCACCAAGCTGAGGGGGGCCCCACGTGCGAGGCCTACATTTTGGTGTGCGTCAGTTGGACCTTTGGCTGCAGCCTCTCCCGCTCCTCTCCTCGCCATGGCTACACCGCCACAGTGGCGCCCTGGGCTGCACACACCAAAGCCATAATGCCTACAGACCTCAGAAGACCTCTATAGCCTGTAGGTCCATTTGAGATCCTCAGAAAGCAGGTATGTCCTATGTAGGGCTTCAGAAAGCATCAGAAAGCCATAGGACCTGGACAGCGTTTTGGTCGAAACTCTCCAAGTTCTTCCGAGTTGGTGCTCGTGTTGCCACAGGCAAGGTGTCCAGTCTACAACCTGTTATCATCCAAGAACACTATGGCACCACACGGCACCCTTGGATGGTGACAGGTTCCCAGTATGCATCCTGGGAACCTGTTATCATCATTCCTTCAGAAGGGTATCATCCAAATCCCCCGTGGTGAAAGAGTACAACACCGGTCTTTGAACCAAAGCCAGATGTTTAGAGGGCCAAGGTTGAGAATTTGGACATGGTTCACATGGTTCACACTACACCATTATACTTATATACTTATGCATAAGGTGTAATTAACTATAATTATTGATGTTTGTTGTACCTGTTCGATGTTTTTCAGGTTAACAAGTGGTTGTGGTGACAGCAGCGTATCAACCATCCCTTATGCAGGAGGCTTGGGGGAAAGATGCGTTTTTGGGGGTTCCTTCCAGGACAGGTGCCTGAGCTTCCAACCGCTGCCCTGAGCGTCCCTTTCCTTCTGAACACCCAGCCCAATGGCTGGTCAGCCCAAAACATAGGATCGATCCAAAAATGGATCCTGGAGTTCTCTTTCATAGATTATGATGTGTTTCTTTCATGTTTTTGGTATGTCTTTTTGGAAGAGATGTGTTTCTCCCGACTTCCGTAGCTGTGGAGGCAGGCTTCAGCATCTACATCATGGTGGTCGGAACCCTGGAGTCCTTTGGGACCAAAGCTAGCAAAGATGTGACCTTCCAACGCATGCAGGACCCGATCCTACAGACCTTTGACCGCTCGGGGTTGGTTGAAACAAGGGTTGCAGTTGAAACGGTATGTGTATATGTTGCATGTATATTGCATGTATGCATATGCTAATAATATGATGTGTTTTGGTATGTATGTTGTGTAATGTATGCGGTATGTTGGTATGTGTGTGTGGATTGCCTTCAAAAAAAGACATTGAGTACTGAGTATACTTTTTACTTGGGTCGGGGTGCTGTAACAGTAACACCTTACAAGATTCGAAGGGGTGCCAGTCTACCGCAGAGATTCCAGACCATAGGTGATGAAAGGTAATCTGCAAGTTTGTGCAGGTTTCTTTTGAGATGCCTTTGATTTGACCCCTAAGAATCTCCGCTAATGATACCTTCTTTTGACTTCGGTTCCCTGAAAAAAGAAAGGCAAACCTCAGGGTTTTCTTCGTCTAAGTGCTCCGTCCTTAGAACCTCTTCTCCCCAACGAAGAACAGGAGCAGTTTGCGGGCGCAGTGATTTACATCATGGTGGAGATGCTCCTGTGGCGCAAGTCCGCCCGAGCCACTCGGTCCAGTTTGGAGCCGCCGAGAAAAACGCGAGAGGCGATATTCGCTCGCGAGACGCGAAGACGTGGCTCGCATGCCGCCCGGCCTGGGGAAAGGTGGGGGTTCATGTGGAGAAGAGGAGTGGGATGGTTCCGGAAAATTACTTATGTAATCTAATGTATATAGATGTCCCTAGCAGCGCCTAGCAGGTCAAGCTGGGAGAATTGGTGCTAATTAGCGGCTTTCATGGTCAATGAGCCTGAACATGTGGCAAGTTGCAAATAATGATGGTCCTTCACATCCTTGAAGGAGATCCAGAAGTGCATTCACCTACAAAGGATGCCCTATATGCAGTATCCAAGCATCTTGAATCTGTCACCCAGCTGCTCGACCCTCCTAAGAACGACGCCTGCTTGCGGCCAAAACCATGGGACCGTCCCCCGGCACGGTGAACTCGCTGGGCAACGCCCGGTGCGCTGAGACACAAGTGAACGAGCAGCAGATCACCATCCTGAAAGCCATCAAGGAGAAGACGGTTTCATTCCAATGAAGTATAGGACACATGTCAGTCACCCAAGATCTCTGGGGCTCTTGGCTCGTTTGATGATGCAAGTTCCGGTTTGTTAATCCACAGACTGGAGACGGCACGACTCTTCCTTGCTCGCTTTGAGATGCTAGTTGTACCTGCACTTGCTCTCCCTGCGCTTTGTGAAATAGGACTCCTTTAGAAACTTTCAGGAACATGATGGAATAATGGAACTGCTTGACTCAGGTTGTATGCATGTTGATTGTTTGGTCCGGCGCTTTCTGCTGAGGATGATGTAGCATAGAAGCAAGTTTTGTGACTGCACTCCCATATCCAACCAATTTTTAGCATTGTTGGGGGTCAAGCGTGGTTCCCGTTGCACTTTACAGTTGGTTCTAGATGATGATCTTGGGATGCAACGGCCCTCTTCGCAGGATAGCATTTACGAAGCGACTGCACCACACTTATCCGTGGTGAGCGAGGTGCCCGCGCCCGCGTCGCTTGCGGTCAATGTAACTGCGCAAGAGGGGGGCCCCGACAGAGTTCCCCCTAAATCAAGGCTTTTTGTTGCACTTGGTCTGAGGTCCCTTCCAGGGGCTTTTTTCAGGACGCCAAGCAGAGGTCAAGACCCCTCGTTTTGTTGTTTGGGTGCGAATTGGTTTCTATTTGTTTTGGTTGGACTGGCGGGAGATGAACATACATACATACATACATACATACATACATACATACATACATACA